CAATTCAAACTAGAGTCTTATAATACAATCTGTTTTATAATATAGATTATATGTTATGGTGGCATAGATAAATAGACCATTCATTTCTCTCGATAATAAAGTAGGTCATATTAAAATCCTAACAGACCTGACCTGTTTTCTGTGGGGTGCCTCTTGGTACGATCTTTTCAAAGTATGGAATTCTGTCAACTTGAAACACTTACCGCTTGACTTACCAAAAGTTCATTAAATAGAAAAGGCCAAATGAACAGCTACGTCTAAAGCCTATGTAATGGTCCGACTCCGGAAATTCCTTCTGCGCTGTCCAGTAACTCAAAGAGGCGGAACTGAATAAAAGGAAAGTGTTTTCTACCGAACACATTTCGAACAAGTACGCGTTCTCCCGTTGCCGTGGCAGCAGCGACTTCAGGAAGAACGTTCGGGCGATTAATGATGGATGCTCGAGAGACAGGTAATTAATTGTTTTAAAATATAAATAAACTTTTGAATTGAAAGCAATCCACTGTATTTCCTATGCCACAAATCCAAGCGTTTGAGTGTGCACTAACGTAACGTACCGTCCTGGCGTCTTTAAAGTCCCAGTGGGCCAGCCATCAGCCATGCACCTGCACTTCTACCAGCTAGTTTACGGAAATCTGGCAGACTAGTTTCAGAATTGTGATCAGATCTGTAACTTGTGTTTTCAGGAAATAAAACGTTATTTAAACTTCTCTATCTGACCTTTCTATGAAACCCAAAAGATCTGCTGGGTGGCAATGAGAACATAGTTGAAATGCAGAATTTGGAAGAAGAGGATTTTGCTGTTTCAAAGTAAGTTATATAGTTTGTTTTCTTGAGTGAAAATGCGTGTATATTTCTCGAAATTACAATTTTTCTTCTTTTATCCATAATACTTTGTCTCTTCAGATCATCAGATGCTGATGCAGAATTTGACATGGTTATTGGGAGCATCGAGGGTATTATAATGGGTATTTGTATGTCTATTATTCTATTAAGTCGTTGACTTATGACAACAACTGTTAATCTTTAATATAATCTTTTAGTATCCATCTATAATACGTATGAATATCACATAATCTGTCAAGAACATGTCCTAGTTAATTTTGGTGGAAATTGTATTTAATATGATTTGTTTTCATTTATTTATGCAAAATGGAATTTATATTTCTTCCTTTTTTTTTTCTTATGGTTTAGGATGTAATGAGACCTGGACATGTATTCATGAAATTCACTCATCCAAATTATAACTGACACATGCAATTTTCTCCACAGAGGATGAATTCCAACACCTTCAGCAGTCTTTCATGGAGAAATATTACCTTGAGTTTGATGACTCTGAGGAGAACAAGCTCTGCTATACACCTATTTTTAATGAATATGTATGTGGTACTTTCAGCTTTGTTTTATCACTCGTTTATGACCCTTGTAGAGATGGAAGTACTGTATTTAAACGGCATTCATTAAATTTTGCTATTTCAGATTGAAGTCCTAGAAAAACATCTGGAACAGCAGTTGGTAGAGCGAATTCCTGGATTCAACATGGATGCCTTCATCCATTCACTTAAGTATGCCATATGAATTCATCTCTTTTTCTGGGCTGGAGTATAGTGTTCAGGCTTGACAGTGACTGACAGTATTTCTTTTTTTTTTATAAAAAAAAAAAACAATATACAATCCATATGAGTATAGCAATCCAGCTATAAAGTCAGTATAAAACAGGGGTTTCCAGTCTTTTAGATGCTACAAACCCTCAAAAATGATAATCCTCATATGAGGAGCCACTTACTACAATTTAGAAGGCAGCTTTATATTTTCATGTATGAATACTCTATTTATACTGTGGAAAATAAATATTATAAAAAATTTGTAAAATATTGGAAAATAAATTTTTTTCTACTCACTATAGTACTGTTAGTACTGTATTACTTCAGGGATCTTATCTATGCACAATCAGCTTGTAACACTCCAAAGAGAGAGAAAAACTTGAAATCGCATCATATGACCCCTTTAATAAAACCTGGTCTAAAATCTTTTGGTAATACACATAATTTACCACTAGATGGAGGTATTTACATAAGACGATATGCATAGATTATTCCATGACTGACCTAAATTACTTTTCTGATTATTTATTATCTTTCTCAACTAGACAGCACAAAGATGAAGTCTCAGGTGACATACTTGACATGCTGCTCACTTTCACTGACTTTATGGCCTTTAAAGAGATGTTCATTGATTACAGAGCAGTAAGTACAAATCTGTTCTTTTCTTTATACTACAAAATATAGGTTTCATAATGTAAACTAATGTTTATTTAGAATGTGTTACAGTTCAGAGAAGCTGTTCTGCCCAGTTCGAAAGTAATTCTGGTCTATAATAAAATAACCTGACACGTAATCACCTACTACGATAACACTTTGGCCTACTTTTCTTCTATCATGAACAGAAGCCATAGACTGTGGCAGAAACTTATTTGCCGCCTTCTTTTTGTAGGAAAAGGAGGGCAGAGGATTGGACCTTAGTACCGGACTGGTGGTGAAATCTTTAAATTCTGCTTCCGCTTCACCTCTGACCTCTAGCATGGCCTCGCAATCCAGCTGAACCAATGGGCCTCTCATGTAAATGAACTTGGTCAGCCAACACATATGATTATTCCCACATCCCAAAACAACAGCCACTGTTATACTTGACAGAAGGGAATCGGTGTTTAATTTAGGTTAATGTTTAAACGTAACATTGGGGTTAACTGTCAGCTTATCCGGTATGACTCCTCTAACACAGTATTCATCTGTCACAAAATCCACTCAGTCTGGATCAGTCTTTCATATCTTGTTGGTCTACAGCGCAGCTGTACGCACTATATTGCTGTTTCTGACCAAACTGATGTAGAAAGCTATAATTAGCATTTGAGTATCGCAAAGCTGCCACTTTATTGCAAATATACCAAAATAATTCCTTTCACTTGACAATCATAAAGGGCTTTTCGATACAAAAGTATTATACAACGTGCCTGATATGAAAACAGATCTAAAAGACCCTTTTTCCATTTAAAAGACTTGCAAGTCTTTCCAAGTAAAATATTACAGAATTAAAAATAAGTGTTTATAGTTACCAGAAATAACGTAAATAATCACATAGTTTTTCATGCTTTTAATGTGATGCTGAGTCCATGTTTTGGATGTCTCTCATATCTTCTGAGTGACAATGAGAAGGAAAGACTCATAAGAGCTTTTCAAAATAATGCTTAGTTTTGTTGATGTATACAAATTTCAGTCTTTTTACTCTCGTTTACTTTAGAAGAATGTGTTGTTCTTACTAGATGAATGTTGCGTTATTGTGTACATTTGTTTATTATTTGTATATATAGATATTTGAGCATTGTGTATGAAAGAAATAAATACAATGGTTTTTAATTTTATTTTATCAAAGCATTTTTATGCTCAAAACAATTACATTCTTAAGCACAACTTTACAATAATGCAAGAACCTCACCACTTAAATACATATTTGCTGAAGTCATTTAGTTCATCTAAAAATAGTACACTAAAAGTTGGGACTGGTAAGATTTGTGTATTTTTTTTTAAATCTCTTAACGCTCACTAAGGCTGCATTTATTTGATCAAACATATACGGTGGCCGAGTGAGCTCAACGCGCTGCAATTATTAGCCTAAATAAACTGACGAAATACACAATTACTGTAACTGAAAGGTTATGTAAGCTGGTTAATTTACTTTTACAACTTTCCTTACAAAAAAACGCCATAACCTATGGTTTTACTATTAAAGTTAATTAATACATTGATAATAAAAAAAATTTAAAAAAATGGTTACCATAGTTAACCATGGTAACCATGCACAAATTAACCATGGATTTACTACACTAACCATAGTTTAACCATGG